TGCAACTCGTAATGGAGACGGAATATCACGTGAAAGGATTGACTTTTGAACGAGTGACGTGGCTTTTGAAAGAAGCAGCTAGTCAGCTGTTAACGTATGTTATACTTGATGATATCGGCTCATTTTTTAAATTTTTTGCATTGTGCAGACAAGATAAATGTCATGCATGTTTCTGTTTCACTTGCTCGCAGTCGGTTGCTTAAAGGGTTATTTAAGCAGATTACCGCTCTGCAACATTTGAGTACTTGCTGCGCTAGTGCACCCCACGTCATTTTGTCTGTTAGAGCCACCTGGCATTAAGCTGGAACAATGATTCTGGAACTGGTCCCCTTTATATACCACTAGTAGACGTCAGAATATGTTCGCACACCTAAGTATGTTGAATGGTTCGTAACTTCTCCAAGACTGAATTTCACTGTTGATTGCGTCGAGTATTTAGTTCTTTATTCTTAAACTGTAAGGTCGCTTTATACAGTATGCAGTGCCATTATTCAAAATGTCCCCTGAAGACGAATCCAGTAAGATCTGAAACGTCAGGAATGTGTTCTACTGCATTTGTATGGGAAATAAACCTTCAATTGAACTGTCTAATGTAACAGACAATATTCATCAGAGTTTACTACAGTGCATTACGGTATACTGTGTATCGACAATAAACTCTGCAGGGACATAGTTCTTAATACTGTAATACTGTAATCATAGATGCGTTTCATCCTGACAATTTTCTCATTTACGAGACACCCTCCTGCTCCCTAAATTTTTACGAATTTGATTTTAGCTCTAACTGAATAGTTACCCACAGATGGACTGATATTTAGATAGACGGAGAAACACCCATTCAGACAGCAGCAGTTAGTAGTATCACAATGCCATGCCTCCACTTTACTTTTTTCATGCTTGCCCAGTTTAAACTTGATATTTCGCCCGCCCATACACTTAGGCATAGTCATTACGCGACATATGTGCGTTCCAGCATAAATCTAAGCATGATCATTAGGTACGCGAATCGATAGGGTATTAATATGCCGCATATCTCTGTCCTCGGGCTGAAGTGAGTGAAGATATTCGCTAAGGATTGACTGATGTTTTGCCTAACTTGTTAAGTCGATGTGTTTCTCACTAGGCATCAGTGGACAACTTTAATCTTAAGTTTGATTGGAATCATTGGAATTTGAACAATGTGGAAAAAAGGAGAGCTGGAGTGTCACTGTTCGTTCGTACGACAGAATGGGTAAACTTATAGTGCTTGTATCATATGGTGTTGCCGATAGCACCTCTTTGATCAGAAAAATCTCGAACTGCCCAAGAGTTGCCTCACGACAGAATATAGCAAGCAGAACCACAAATTAAGCCTCAAAAACAAACATTCCCTGTATAGACCAGAAATCAGCGGCAATGAAGTATCATAAATTTAAATGTCGTTCATGCCTACGTTG